GGTTAATTTAACCGGTTAATTTTAACTGGTTAATCAAAAAGAATTAACCGGTTAAAAAAAGATCTTAACCGGTTAACCGTTTAATTGCAGTTAACCGGTTAACCGCGGTTAAACGGTTAACGGTGCCAACCCCTATGTCTATCACATGATCATTGATATAAATTTCTGTGATACAAGTTTGTCTACTCCATTCAATAGTAATAGTAATCAAAATGCAACGAAAAATAATCTCAGGACTTAATTTAGCATTAAACACTTATCTCCTTAAACCTCATATACTATTTACAACATCTAGAGCAAGATCAATAACTATGACGTCGAAAACAAAATTTATAACAAGTCCATTTAGTGTCTTAACTAATCACAATAACTATTATTATCATTCAAAGGCTTTCCAAACAAGAGAACACAGAACAAATAATTTGATGAGTGATGTAGCAATAAAGTGTAGGCAACCAACGTTAAAACTTTTTAAAAATAACCAACAAGGTAATATTTTAAAAAATCTTCAGAATAGAATATATATATATTTCACCCTATTTATTTTATTTATTAGTTTTTTACTAGTTACTTCTTTTTTATAGTTCGTGGAATGTTTATTCGAACAGAAGTAACACCAAACCAAGATTCATTAAAATTCATTCCAGGTGTTCCAATTATGGCTGAAGGAGGTACAGCTGAATTTTTATCAGGGAATGAGGCATCTAAATCTCCATTAGCAAAAAGCCTATTTCGAATTGAAGGAGTTAAAGGAGTATTTTTTGGACCAGATTTTATTACTGTTAGTAAGGATCCAGATATACCATGGCAATTGATGAAGCCTGATTTATATGCAAATATTATGGATTTTTTTTCAACGGGCGAACCTATTTTATTGGAGGCACCACCACCATCTGATACACAAATAAATGATGATGACTCTGAGGTTGTTCAAATGATAAAAGAACTTTTGGACACTAGAATTAGACCTTCAATACAAGATGATGGTGGTGATCTTGAATATAAGGGATTTGAGAATGGAATTGTTAAACTTAAATTGAAGGGAGCCTGTAGATCTTGTGACTCATCCGTCGTTACTTTGAGAAATGGAATTGAAAATATGTTGATGCATTATATACCAGAGATCACAGGAGTTGAACAAGTACTGGACGAGGAGGAACTTATTTCACAAACAGAATTTGAAAAATTAGAGCAGAAGCTAAATAATGCATAAAAACATACTATATCATTGTATTATTATTATTATTAAATATATAATTATTTTATAAAAAAATATATACTTAAGCAAGACAATAAAATTTGACAATATTTCCCAAAATTCGAACATAATTACAATACAAAAAAGGCCGATTTTAAATGATCAATGATGATGATGCAATTTAGAGTAAAAAAAAAAAAAGTGCTTGAATTATAAAAATATAATTAATAAAAATAATCTTCATCTTGACTAACTTTGATTCATAAATATATTTTTTCATCCATTTACATTATATGGGGCATACTGCAACAAAACCAGACAAAGTGAACAATTGTATTTCAGAGTTTAAAATTTAGTGTTAACATTTTTCTAATTTTCATTATTCAATAATTAAATCAATTCATTTTATTGTTTGTGTAGAGGTTGATACATTATTTAATTCTGACCTTCCATTACTTAATTCATAACTAATTCATAACACGTAATTTATTTAGGAGGAATTTGTGATGATTATAATAAAGAAAATAGAGGATTATTCTTCTATGTTAATGATTGTCATATTGCATCATATGACTCTACACATTCAGGATGTGTTTTAAATAAATTTTCCTCTGATTGGCATTGAAACAAAGTAAATAAGCAACATAATCCCATTTTATGTTGAAACATTATAAAAACATCACCAGTCCACTTACTTTCAAGTAAAGAATCAAACAACACAATCATCCAATAATCATTGTTTAATCAATAAATATTTACAATATTTTCATTCATAACAACATTATACTTCTATAGAAGCAGTCCAGCAGTGTTATTGACAAAAGTTTGGGGATGCAAAATTCTGATTGCCAATTTGAATTTTTTGTGTGAATTTAAAATTCACAAATACATTTCTATACTACTAGATTGCAACAATTTGTATCTTTGTTGATTAGCTCTGGATATCTTGATACCTTTTGACATTATTTATTTAATTCCAAATGCTATCAAATTTTGGTTTATTGCAACTCAGGGTTTGTGTATTGCTATGAATATATTGAATTTTTACCCAAAAATGCCCAGTTGTGACAGAACCCTCCAAAATACATGACGATTGTATGGAACTTGTAATCTTATACAGTCCTTTCCTTCTCTTGAAGATTCATCTAAACCTATAGGTTTGATTCGTATAAGTAATAAACAATTTAATTGAAAGAAACATTCTGAAGTAATGATTTTTAATAAAAGATTTACAAATAATAGGTTCAAAATATTAACAAGTTTTAGAAAGGGAAGGTGTGAGCCACATCAAAAAAGTAATGGTTTTGTTTGCTACTACTAAGATCATTAATTAATCGGGAAAAAATTAGTAATGGTTTGCTATGATCTCCTTAATTAATTGATCAAGTTCTTAAAAAAAAAGATATATATTGATTTTTTCTTATTCTTGTAAATAATCATTAAATTCATGTTGGTTTCAACACGGAAGAAGATAGCAGAGAAAATCAAGCACAAGTTAAAAGGCTGGCAAGAAAAAAACGGAAAGCTATCAGGTGTCATTGAAAGTAGAAAGGTTTTACGACCTTGGAAAGAAAATAAATACATTCATTGACCTCAAAGTCAATTTTTACACAAAAAAAAAAATGAACATTTGCCTTCCCCAAAAATCAAGTTTAACAAAATTTGATTTTCAACATCAACATCAACATGCCATGTTGACTTCTCTCTTCCCTTCCCGGCATGATCATATTATGATCAAATAGAGAGTATTTATCACAACGCAACCAACTTCGTGAAACTGCAAATTCCTTTTTATAGATAAAAAAATCGAGATTAAATGTTCCACCGGATTGATTCTTACGTTAATTAAAAAAAAGGATTTTATGGATAAACAATCATCGTTAATAAAAAATTTATTCTTGGAAAACCTGTTGCCAAAATTATTTATCTTTGATCTTGACTATACGATCTGGCCTTTATGGTAGGTAATCTTTATAACGGTTTTTTGTTAATTTTCTTTAACCAGCCAGTTAACCATTAAATTGTTTGTTGTTTGTTTAGGATCGATACACATGTTTCTGGTCCTGTTTTCAAAGCTGACCCAAAGAAACCTTTTATTGCTCTTGATGGGTAAACAATATTAGTAAATGTTTGAAAAATATTTATTATTTATTGAATGTTTAAACATTGTTTTTTTTTTTTTTTGACATTAGATATTCCACAAAAATTCAATTATATAATGATGTTCCTAAAATATTTCAACTTATAAAAGGTTGTTCAGATACCAAGTTAGCAGTTGCTTCCAGAACCGAAGAACCAGAATGGTAAGAATTCTTTTCAAACTTTTTATAAAAAAATACCAAAAAAAAAAAAAATTAGTAATAATAATAAATAATAAAAGGGCGAACGAAGTTTTAAAGGTAATGCCATTTCCTCAAATAGATCAAGAAGGAAATGTTATTTCTATTAAAAAATCAATAAGTAACAATAAGGATTATAAAGATAATAATAATGAATATTATACGTTAAGTGACATGATTGATTATGCAGAAATTTATCCAGGGTCTAAAGTAAACCATTTTCGATCCATACATAAAATTTCAGGCATCCCATATAGCGAAATGATTTTTTTTGATGATGAATCACGAAATAAAAATGTTCAACAGGAATTAGGTGTTTATTTTGTCTATGTAAAAAATGGATTAACAATGGAACTTTTTTTGAATTCAATAAAAAATTTTGCTAAACTTAAAAAACAACAATTAAAAGAAGAAAAATAAAATATACATAGAAATAAAATTGTATTTCATTTATTACTATAAAAAATTAAATAATAATAATAATAAAACAATGTTTTTAACTTTTAATTTTCTTTTGCTTTAAAGGCACCATGACCAAAAGATAATGGTATGACTTGAGGAAGATTTACCCGAGCTAATTCTGTTAAAGTTTTGGCTTCAAGTATAATCAAAAAACTTGATATTTTTAAACCATCAAAGATAACACTTAACAATACACCATCATCTTCTTCATGATCTTCACCAGGTTCAGGAACAAAAATTGGTTCTGATGGATAACAGTTTTCTGTACCCCACATAGCAACTACTTCTTTCGTATCTAAATCCTATAAAGTTACAATGATGATGATGATGATGACGGATGTTTATATTATTATTATTATTATTATTATTATTATTATTATTATTATTGAGAGTATTATGTTATTAATTAAACTTACACTTTTAACAATCGAATCCCATATCTGACCTTCTTGACCTGCAGCTTTTGCTGATAATCCAATACCATAAACATACCGATATCGATTACCTTTATATTTTGGATTAATTCTATATGAAAGTAGACGTTAATTAATTTAATTTATTAGATAAAAAATCAATCAATCAATCAATCAATCATTCATTCATTCATTCATTTTTTATACATAATATTAATTGCTTACGTTGGTAATTCCAAAGTTGAATCAGCACATCTAACGTAATTAGCAACAGGCCACGGATAATAAACTTGTTGATTGCTATTGGTAGACCATAGGAAAGCTGATACGGTATTTTGTATAACTTCAAAACTTGAAGACTGAGGGTTTTTTGCAAATTTTACAGATTCAATTTGAATATTCTGTAAAGCAAATCTACGAACTTCACTCAACGGTAATCCACGGACTAAACCACCGCTTAGATTTTCGATAGTAAGATAATGTGCTATATCCGCATTATCATAACAAGACATATCCACAAATATATTATCTTCGTCATCCTCAAATGCATTTATATGATGAAATCTAAAATAAACATGCATTTTTATATGTTATACGTTTTAATCATTAATATTTGTAAAAAAAATTAAACTAATATAATTGATAAATTGAATGATTATATATATCTTACGCAAAACATGCGTCTGATTTATATGTTAAGATGTGTTGTTTTTTAGTTCTCGAAATCAAATGAAAGAGTGTTGGTTCTTCTGGATTAAAAGCAAAATAATCTAAAATGTTGTCAGACCATTTAAAATTATAAGTAGAACTTGTCCCGTAAAGTGGATATATAACCTTTAATTGATTGATTGATTGATTAATTTGCAAATCTCAACAAATTAATTGAACGTTATAAATATATTTTTAAAAATATACATACTAAAATAATGAATCTTTGTGTGACTGAGAAGCTATGGATATAAGAAGGTTTAGCAAAAACTGTGCCTATTAATTCACCATTTGGATTAGAGCTAGTAATTGAAAAGAAATTATATTTTGTTCCTAATGCATGATATTCCATATTAAAATTTATCAGCTCTCCAGTTTGTTCATCGTAGTATGAATGAGGTGCTGCATGATCTCCTTTAAAATTTGCATTTATCTCATCCCAAGAATAAACACGTTCAGGAATTAAATCATTTGCATCAAGTTCCACAACCTAATAAATGTGATGTAAGTATATTTTTAATTAAAAACAAAAAAATAAAAATAAATCATATCAAATAATATTCTCGATTTTGTACATACTTGACTTGCATGATTTTGACAGAAGATTTTTGGTTTTTCACCAGGTTTATTAAATGGAAAATTAAGGTTAATATTGGCACAACATGGCTCCATTTCAGGTTTATCTGTTCTTTTCTGACCAAGAAGCTTGGCCAACGGTGTTTGACTATATTATATATATATATTTGTGTATATGTAAATATATATCAATTAAAATATTCTATCATTAAATTAATAATAATGTCATTAATAGTTTTCTTCTATTGTCTGTTATAATTACTTTACGTTGGTTTTAAACAATGAAAATGGATGCCTAGTTATAATTCCATGACGATCACGTATTTTGGATTCAAATTTTCTACTGGTGAGCTTTGAACGATAGGTTACTTTATTATTTTCACCGTCGATATCAAATCTATTTACGAGTGGTAATCTAAATTTTTTTATTAAAAAAAAATTTTTCAACTGAATCAATAAAATGATCAATTAATAACTTTTAAAAAATAGATTATTTATAAGATCTTAATAATCTTTCTTTACCCATCGAACCAATGTCCAATTGAAAAAGTTGCAGTACCACTTTCATAACCACCACCTTCAGTTTGTATCATCTTGTTATATTTTATATCATATGTTCCGGGCCCGACAGTGTAAAAATCACCATTCAACCAAGAAGGAAGGTTTCCATTGGCATTTACTTCTACAGGCTTGAGTGTTTCTTTTGAATTTTTAAACCCCTGAATTTAAATATTTACAAATATCAAAATATTATCAGTTTGTTTTTCAAAAAAGTGACAAAGAAAAAAAACCATCATTAATTTATTATTTACATTGCGGTAAAGTAATTCATTTTCGTTTAATTCTATTTTTTGAATATCTCCTTCAGTCGTAGTATCATCAATATAAATTTTCGGAGGTTCTGTGAAATTTTGTAATTCTACAGCTCCTTTAACTTCATTCATTATTTTTCCAATAAAGAAAATTTTTTTTACCTATTACTATTTATGGATGGAAAGATTCTCAATTTCCTAAAAGATAAAGTTGCGTTTCACTGGGGAAATTTGTTTAAACTCTATTTAACGAAATGGAGTAAATTCTTTATGTTTAAGGGTTAGAGTGTAATCATGTGATTTCTATATGATCAGCAAGGATGAACCTCTTGAGGATCGTTAGACGATATCACGTGATATTTGCAATGTGAGAGGTCATCATTACTATTTTTAGTAACATGTAATATTCAAAAATCAATATTCAATATTTTATTAATCAGTTATATCATTTATTATCTTGTATCATTTATTATTTTCAGAAAAAGCGTTTATTTTTTGTATCGTAAACAATATATTCATATTTCAGTTATATCATTGATTGTATCATTTATTATCTCAGGAAAAACGTTTCTTTTTTCTCATTAGTTATATCATTAATCACATCATTTATTATCTCATTAAAAGAAAAGTCATTCTTTTTTTGTATCGTAAACAATGAATTTATGTTTTTATTATATTTTGTATGTATAAAAAGACTGATTTCACAATCTTCCGAACAACTTGTATAAAAGATCAGTGTAAATAAATAAAAACCCCATAAAATCTTTATGAATCATTTGATACCAAAAATTTAAGGTCACATGTTCTTGATAAGTCGGTCGATTCTCTCAATAAGTCGGTTCATCATGCCCAGCCATTCATAGCCGACTTATCGAGTTTACTGTGTGGTTGGAAATCTATTTAACACCATCGTTTAAAGTACTTGATAAATCGATTTTTCCGTAAATAGTTATATATCAGCCACTAAATTATTTAAAACATGCTTTTTGTCAAGCCGAATTTTTTTCCTGGTGACCGATTTGTCGAGTTTAATATTGATAAAGTTTTGGCAATTTTTTAATCTCGTCGTTCTGTGGGCGAAACTATTTCGGATTTTTTTTAAAATAATTTCTAATACTAATACTAATATGAATATGTGGGGAAAATTTGAGAGTAGCAGTTTATGTAACCAAATTAATCCTTTGTGACTTGTAAATAATTAATACATTCCATGGCATAATAATGTATATTGTAAATCATCATTTACAAATTAATAATCTGAACAAAAAAAAATCACATCATTTAATTTTAGAAAGATTTACCTTCTAAAAAAAAAAAGTCGGCATAAACAAAATAATGAACTACCCAACACCAACTTTATCAGAGTTAAAGGAACAGACTACACTTGGACAATCAACGATTGAAAAAATCATTGAAGGATTTCTTTCTTCATATCATAATGGATTGACAAAAGATCATTCTACAATGGTACCATCGTATATTACCCGTCTTCCTACTGGCATAGAGACTGGCGATTATCTTGCCTTGGATTTGGGTGGTACAAATCTAAGAGTTGCTGTGGTGACATTGGTAGGTCTTGGTAAAACTGAGTTGGTGTATAAACAATATCGAATTCCCGATGAATTGAAAACAGGAACAGTTGAAGAATTATTCGATTGGGTGGCATTAGCTGTTAAAGGGTTATTGGATGATTCGGGTCATAATAATTTGGAGAATGATGGCCAGACGAGTAACAAACCCAAAGAATTGTATATGGGAGTTACTTTTAGTTTTCCAATAAAGTAAGAATTTTACATATATATTATTTAAAACATTGCATATTTTAATTAATATAAAGAAAACTGAAAAAAATAATTAAAAATATTTAATGATTAGTCAGACTGCAGTCAAACAGGGTGTTGTTATGCAGATGGGAAAGGGATTCAATGTTATAGGATTAGAAAATCATGACGTAGTTGAATTATTACAAGCTGCATTTTCTAGAAAGGTTATTGTTGTTATTATTATTATTATTATAAATTTAGATTTTTTTCTTATTGATCTTTTTTTGTTTTAGGGTGTCAGAGTCCATATTGCAGTCATAGTCAATGATACAGTCGGCACACTTGTGGCAAATGCTTACAAAGATCAAAATACAATTATTTCAGTGATTTTAGGTACAGGAACTAACGCTGCATGTATTTCTACGACCTCATCAATTTCAAAAATCAAATTTCCACCAAATACACCAGAATATATGATTGTCAATACTGAATGGGGTATAATGGGTGCTGATTTCTTGCCTTTTATAAAATATGACAAAGTTCTTGATCTGCAGAGTAAAATCCCAGGATTTCAACCTTTTGAAAAAATGGTTAGTGGAATGTATTTAGGTGAATTGGTGAGGCTGACAATAGTTGATCATGTGAAATCTTTTAATTTGTTTGGTGGGTTCTTACCAGGAGGAATGGAAATACCATATAATTTTTCCACTATACAAATGTCTGACATTGAAAGGTATGATTATGATTGATTATGGTTATTTAATTATTGGAGTTTTAATAATTATATTTTTAATTTTTTTAAAAAAAAAATAATTTAGTGACAAAACAGCCAATCGCTCAGAAATATTAAAAATTTTATTAAAAGGATTTAAATTTCCTGATGATAAAAAACCAAGTAAAGAAGATATGAAAATAGTTTGTGAAATTATAAAAGCATATTCTAGACGCTCAGCTCAACTATCAGCTGTGGCTGTGGCTTCGTTGATTAAACTACAATGTCCAGATTTCCCTTCAGTTGAACGAGATATCAGAGTAGCAATTGATGGATCAATGTATCATAAATACTATAAATATTCTGAAAAAATGAGTGAATTTTTAAGACAAATTCAAGACATTACTGAAGATAAAAGAACTAAATTAAGTGAAATTGAAAATGGTGGATGCACTGGTGCTGCCATAACTGCTATGATGTATTCTAATTATTAATTTAATTATTTATGCACATAGACTAATTTATTAATTTATTGCAGATTAATAAAATGCTTATATTTAATGTGTATGGTAAGTATAGTATTTAATTATTTCTGGTAAATAAATAAATCTGCCTCAATTAAATCAGTGTCTGTTTTTTTTTCAGGGGTGAATAGTTACCATTTTTTATTTCTTCAGGGATTTCTCCCCAATTGTCAAGTTTATTATTTTGTTCCATTAACTCAATTATTTCATTGGACTCTTTATCTGAGCCTTCTGAAATTAATTCAGGCGTATTTATTTCATAATTAAGTGGTTCTTCATGCTGAATTTATTCTAATCTATAATATAGTTCAGGTCCTTCTTCATGGTCAAACCCATTAACAATTTGAAATTTTCCCTGTGATTGTTTCTCCTCAGTTGGTTGTATGTCTGGTATTTCTTCCAAGTTAGGTTGTTGATTATCCTTGATGGCATCATTTGTATTTGGTTGTTCAAGAATAATAATTGATTTAGGTTGTAATTGATTTCTTCCTCCCAATTTTCTAGCTTGTCAAAATCTTTTTGCCATTTCCGAATTTCTGTTCTTAAAAATTTATAAATATTTAAATAATTTGTTTACCTGATTATTATTTTTATTCAAATTTCTTAAGCCGAAATTTAAAATCTCTTTGGTAGTAGGTCGTTTGTTCTTGGGTAAATGTAATTTATAGTGTATAGAGTGTATGTAATTATTAGAATTTTCCATTCAATGTTTTGTTTTGTCTGATCTGTGAAGATTGAAAGTTAGGGAACTTCTCCCTCTTTAAATAGTGGTTGAAAATTAGATGAGAAGTGATGTTTGATCTATAGTTTCATTCTCATAACTCTTTTGTTTTCTTTATCTTTTATTTTTGTGTCTTCTTATTATTATAAGATGATTGGTTCCTGCCATTACTGGTGAATTTATTAATAATTGTTTAAGTTCATTGAATGCATCTTCTTGCTCTTCTCCTCATTCGAATTCTTCATCCTTTTTAACCAATTTATATACATTGGTTTAGCAATTTTTGAAAAATCCTTCATAAAATGTCTATGTTAATCCTAAAAATGAGCGAATTTCCTTCATTATCTTAGGTATTGGCCAATTGCGAACTTTTTTGGATCAGGTTGTAGTCCATTTCTTCCTACCACAGTCTGCCCTTGTTTCAACGAAGTGGCTGGACATATAAGAAAATTTTATTCAACATTCGTTGAAACAAGGTCACTAATCGCGTTTCAACGAATTTTTATGTTTTCATAATGTGCAACAACGTTTTTAAAAATTCGTTATATCAAAATTTAATTTTACTTCGTTGAAACAAGGGTTCACTGTATATGTCCAAGAAATTCTAATTGTGTTTTTGCAAGTGAGCATTTATCTTTTCCAAGCTTGAATCCAGCCGTCTTAACTGTGAGAATACTATTTCTAGATGATCTCCCATTATTTGATTTAGGAATGCAAATTTTTCCTGTATTGACTCTTCTTCATAGTCCTCATCTCCTGGTTGATTAACAACTGTAGGTTTCTTTTCTACATGTATGGGATGCTTATTGGTTGTTTCATAAGCAGCAGTGGTTAAAACTTTTCCTTCAATGGATATTACCCCATTTATTGCTTTTAACCAATCTACTCTTGATATTAATTCATAATTTGTAGCTTCAGTCACTTGCATTGTTACTTCAATTGTGTGTTTATTTTCTAAGGTTACTTGTACATTCCATATGATTCCTAATGGTCTATGTCTTTGCCCATTTATTCCAATGAGATTAATGTTTGAATTTTCTTCTATTTTTCTTTTAAGTTGATCCAAGCATTGCTTAGATACGATGTTTCCTGAAGAACCTGTATTCACAATTGCTTTTACCTTGGTTCCCCATATTTCTGCTTCACAAGTCACACAATCTGGTAGAGCTCCGAAACGAGTCGGGTCGGGTCGGGTCATGATTTAATTGACCCGGGTTTGACCCGGGTCAACATCATGTTATAATTGCCTTTAGAAGTTCAAAACTATTTTTGAAACTAGTATAGATACTAACGAACGAATAAAAATAAACGGCAAAATAACAATTTTGACATAAAAAAAATCAATAATTGATGCAAGTGTTTATGTAAAATAAAAATAATAATAAAT